TGTTGTTGTTGTTGCTTATCCTCTAATTGTCTGACGAGGTCAGACAAGATCCAGTAAGTTGTTGACCCTCAAAAAGTCGATTACAAGAAGTGGAGAAGCATATAAGTCCTCCTTGGAAAGGCCCAAGCAGTCGAGGATATGTTCTGCTGAGGCCTGCTGGGCTTCACATTTAGAGCAGACTGCATAAGTCTTTCTTCCTTTAAAGTACGAGAGACTGTTCGTGTGTCCGCTTGCCAGTCTGGAAATAGCTGTTTGAGATGCTCTATCACCTACATGAACAAGTGAAGAGCCCGGTTCCTTGGCCGCATACCAATGATGAGAGGGAGGGATCCTCCACTTTTTTGATAAATGGCTTTTGATTTTGGATTGATACTCAGAAAAGGTAAGGGCTGAGGACGAAGATGTTAAATGACTACAGCCCTCCTTGGCCAAGCGATCCGCTTGCTCATTTCCAAAGATGTCAACGTGGGATGGTATCCACTGAAGATGAACGTCGTGGTGCTTTGAAATAAGTTGAAGTTTGAAGTTGATAAGTTGAAGTTTGACAATCCATGATTTGATATATCATTAAAAACTTCAACTAAATATATAAAGCCCTCATTAATATTCCTTTATCCCTTGTTATAATTGATAAATTATATTAGAACAAGAAATAATTAACAATTATCTAACTCCTACAAATAATTTAAATTAACCGCTATTTAAAAAACAAAGAAATGTAAACAGATTATTACAATTCTATTTGGTAAGAAGCAAAGACGTCAAAAGGTTAAATTTAAAACATAAACGGTAAAATGTGTAGCAATTCTAAAGAACATTTTTGGTAATTTTGATATATTATTTTAGAGCATGGCATAAAAACTATAATTTATAAAACAAGAAATTGCGGTAAAACGTTATCATAGCGAACAGTAAAACTACTAAATTTCTGTTTATGAGTAATGTATATATATATATGATAAAATATAAATATAAAATATGTGATAATCAGTACAATACTTTAGTTTTACTATATCCTTGTTCCGCTAAGGACTGATCGCAAAGACGCGTTTCCCAGTCAATCATCACTGACCCCTTTGATCAACCAGCGTAGGGACCGAGAGTGCACGGTATCAGTCCTCGTTAAACTTTACAACCCTACAGGAAGCGCAGGCCATAGGACTACCAAACCTGATAAGCCATCTCCTCTGAAGAGGATCGAAATTGTGATGCCATGTCTTCAGATCATCCTCAGGGCTGTTTTTCAGACCGTTGGCAATTGCCCATAGTGCAGCTCTAGTGAGGCCTACTTATTTACTATATCCTTACATAGACTGATCAAATCTTACATCGGAAACCAAATAATTTAATTAAAAACTTAACGCAAATACACAGCGGCTCTGTTCCTCTGTATTGATTTCAGCGTGAAAAATTTTCCTAATTTATTTGGTTGGACCAAATCAATACAATGTCTCTTTAGAAGTCAACAATGTTACGATTAGGTGAGTAGGCTACCGGCAACTTTCCTTTACAATTTAAAGTTTTGGGGAATATAATAATAAGAAACTTTTTCAAATTACGCTAGAGAGCATTTTTGAAGTTAAATTCCACGATATCTGTAAAACGAGTAAGAAGTTTCGTTGTATTATACAGCCATCTTAAGGAAATATCAGAAATTTGTTAACTGGAAATAATGCTAAGGAGCAGCTTGATATGAAAATTTAACTTATGAAAAAAAAATTTGCCTTTCACCAAGCCCCTAAGCCTTATTTATTTCATTTTATTTTTTTTAGGAAATAAATACATAATGTTAAAAAGCTTATAACATTAGATGCTTTTAAGAATAAAGTTTTTTTTAGTAGAATAAAGCACTATAATCTGACTACGCCAAAAAAAAATGTTAATTAGAAATTATTATGCTTGAGTATTGGATTTATCGTAACTTAAATTATCTTCTTTATTGAATGCATTTTAAGTTTAAAAAATTCTTTTAATATCAAAAAGGTTTTTACCCTCAAAGAAAAATATTATCATTAGCTCAAAAGTCATTCAAGATGTTTTACTTTTTTCACACATTGTACTAAATCAGCAATAGTTTTCAATGAAAATGCTATTCTTGGTTATTTTGAAAGGTATGCAATATTTAAACATTTCTAAATATATTTGCAATGGCTATTTTAAATGTTTAACAAAATTTAAATACCAAATTGCATTTCATTTACAAGTTTAATGTTATTATTAATTCAAATAGCTTACCATGACCATGTGAAACCAGCAAAAAAAGACATATTTTACATAAATGATCAATCATTCTATATCTCTGATCTGTCCAAAAATTTATTCTTATTTTTAATAAAGCGACTGTTTCATTCATGTATGTTCTATTCAGGCAACA